CCAGCTCTTTCCAGGACAGTCTCCATGCCAAGTAGAGTTAAGTCCTGTTCACTTCTGCTTGTACAGTTGCATAATATATTTTGCACAATATATGCTGATCTTGCGTATATTATATATATATTTCCCCTGCTAGTTAGGGAAGGAAAAGGAGGCAGTGCTGGGCATCAGACCTTCGTTGCCCCTACTGCTACTGGAAAACTTCATGAGAATTCATTGCTCCCTTTCAAGTGGTTCCCCCTCCCCTTTCCTGTGTAAGTGTAAGAACTAGGAAAAATGGACCGCTCAGAAGAAATTAATCAAACCCAAGCTGAATCCATTCAAGGAGTTGGATTGTGGTGCCCTGTTGAGAAACAGCTGGCATCCTTGGCCGCTGAGGATGGTGGGAAAATCACTCCATCAGCCCCTGGCTTTCCTCACAAGAGCATCTCCTCGGCTCCTGGATCACCACCGGCTCTTCAGAGTACATCTGCAGACGTCTTGAGCGTTGTTTGCCCCGCGGCACAACAGCTGGCGCTTTGGTGGGGGTGTATAGGCAGGAACTGCCTGGAATGTGGCGCCTTGGGGATGCGATGAAAACGGATCTGGGTGGCCTTTGGACATCTGAGAGGGCCACTAGGGCAGGACCCTGGTTCCTGGGGGTGCCAAAGGCACCTTTCCTGTCCCTTTCATCGCCCTTCCTGGATATCTCCCTGGGCTTGTGAGCTTCTGGGCAGTGCTTATTCCTTTCAGGAGGAGCAGCCTTAGGCAAAGAGCAGGAAAAGGACAAAGCAGAAGGGACATGAAAGGAAGTTAGTTAAATCTGGTTTACGCCAACATTATCAGTTGTTCCTCTCCTATTATACGAAGCAGTGTTTCTCAACCTTGGGAGCTTGAAGATGTGTGGACTTCAGCTCCCAGAATTCCCCAGCCAGCATAGCTGGCTGGGGGATTCTGGGAGCCCAAGTCCCCACATCTTCCAGCTCCCCAGGTTGAGGAACACTGCTTCCGGTAATTGGAGAGGAACAAATGGTAATGGTGG